CTAAAATCTTGTATATATTAGATATTGCATCGGTGCAATCGCGCGTTTGTATCTATGTAGCATCGAGTATATAACTAGAAATAGAGGCGAAATGTCAATTAATTTATTTGAAAACTATTCTGCCATATCATTACTGTGACAACTGCGCTCCGATTGGCCAGCCCGAGTTCGAAACAATTGACGGGTGTCGTCAACTGTTTCTTCAAATCGATCAGTTAACTTGAGCTTTGCTATAATGGACGAAAATTGCAAAATTACATATTTAATATTTAATTACCGATGAAATGTGATTGCGTTTGTTTTGTAATTAGATGTTTTGCTGTTTTTCCCACACCACCGAATAGACCAGCACGGCATTGTTAGAGATATCATCTTTATTACAATAAATACAGAATATTTTTTGGAATATACGGAGACGTACGCACAGGTCAGTAGTTGGCCTGTCTTTAATTCAGTGCAAACGGGAGTTGATATTTATAAGAGTTGTATCGCTAATGTGTTACCAGGAATATATGACCCTTATTTCGTCTCTATTTCTGGTTATATACTCGATGCAATGTAGTCACTCGTTTGCATCGCTGATAAAAGCCACCGTGTGAAACCGCTCTTAAATTTGTAAAAACAAACTAGTAGATGAGCCCGATATCGCGCACTTTTCGTTAACCGATTTCAATAGAACTTGGCAAATAGATTCAAATTTTTGAGGTCTGTTTCTTTTTATAAAAAAGTTATAATTATTGTAGTAAGCAGTCGGTTTATTTTTCACAGCGGCCGTGATGAATAATCGGTCGAACGACAGCACGCCGACGGGCGAGAAGCGCAAACGTGGTCGACCGAGAATAGACAAGACCAGCCCGGAGTATATCGCCAGGAAGCGCGCCAGAGAGAAAGGTACATTGCGTATTAAGAGTGCTAAATAAGAAATTACTAACGACAGTCTGTAACCTCCCGTTGACACGACATTGTGCTGCACATAAATAAAAATATACAGGGTGTCCGGTAAAGAATGGATAATCCTGAAATGCCTTATAGTAGAGCTTATGAACGTTCAAAAAAAATATAAAGAAAAATATATCCCATGTAGTACTTAAGATGTATTTTTTTCTTTAAATTTAATTATTTTCACCTTATTTTACGTTTTTGTACACCACGACTACAAGTTAATCAATTTCTTCGGTGTTTTGGTGTCATAATATTCTACATTAACTGTGCTAATAGATAGGAAGTAAATAGTATGACTAATTATGGCACTTACATTTAAAAAAAGTTTTATTTTATTTTTCAGTGCAATTTTCTTTTTCATGATAAAAAAATCACTGGGCATTTTTTTCCTGTGCATAAGATTATTATATATATTTATTACATATATTTAATATTGCCCAATAATTTCTAACGCGTGGCTACCTCAAAATAGTAAATAAAATTGAGCAATCGGCGCCGAGTTGTCTAGACGCTTGGGGCGCCAGCACGTCGCGCCTTTTTTTTCGAAAACTTGAGACCGATAAAAACCGAATATGTATTTTTTTCCATTGTATAGTATGCTCCTTTAAAATGGTTAGTGGTATTTTTATCAACCTGTATCATTCATATCATAGGCCTATGTTCTGCAATAGACGTCTTCCGCCTGATATGATGATTTAAACATTACCACCGACGTTCATGTGTTCTCTTTTTTACAGAAGCGCAAGAAAGAAAAGAAAAGAAAGAATATAGAAGGCGTACGACTGGTGGTAAGTTATGAACTTATTGTTAACACAAAAAGTACGTAAGCTTCGGTCACATAATCACTCTGTTCACTCATTTGGTTAAGAGTTTTTTTTGTAAATAATACAATCTGGTTTGGTTAAACGTGTAGTCAGTTAAAAGATGTCATTTTAACTTTTAACAAGTGATCTAACTGTTCCATTTATAGTCTGTCTTTTTTGAAGACGGAGTAATATGACATTTGTAGGGTTGCTAGCTTTTTCAAAATTTCGAATAGTTATGTACTTGTTGTCGATGATTTTATCGATAGATTGTCAAAAAAGATAAAATGTTGCCAAAAATGACTGAATTGCGAATGTTACGTGTTATGTGTCTTCTTTATTCTTATTTTGACAGTTAGCTATCGAGATCATTTCTTTTTTGCCGGATTTGATTATTGAATTAAAATGAAAAACTTTAAAATATGTCTCCCTTTTTGTATTTTTCATAAAAACAGTTCTAAATACTGTGCACGTATGTATCAACTTACAGAAATTGACAATTGAAATTAACTTGTGCTCATTACTTGAATGAATAATGTGTCGAGGATGATTCAAATGATACAAGTTCGGCTTTTTATTCCATAAGCGTGATCAATATTCAGCAGACAGCCGATAGAATATCTATCGACTGCAATCAGTAGCTGTCATTTTACTCCGTCTTAAACAAAGACATGCTATACAGATTAAATACGTTGTTTAACAACTAACGTCACGGTATATTTGAGATTATCAAGGCAAAAATGGTGGAACCCACTTTTTTGTACAAAATTACTTTGAATGATACTAATGCAATGAGTTTGGATGTATTTTCATGTATAACGTTTAGTAGCAGTAAAGCTCCCTGTGAAAGAATTCGTCCAGGGAAGTACTGCCACCTTACCTATTTCTGCCGCCAAGCAGTAATGTCAGCATTACTGTGTTCCGGTTTTGAAGGGTGCTGGTGAAATTACAGGCACATGGGACTTGTTAACTTATGTCTCAGCGTGACGGGCGCAGAGGCAGTGCTCCGCAGATCTTTGCAATTTAAAGCTCTGAGTGGCACTATAACTGTTAGCTTACCATTAGGCGCACGACTTGTTCGCCCAGTCACTTTATGTTATAAGAATAAACATGAAAATAGCCAGTGCTAGTCAAAGTAATATTATACAAAGTGCCCAGCAGTTGCACTAATTATGAGGCGATGATTATTGAAATGAAACAAATTCAGCTATTTATTGCAAAGGTTCGACCAACATTCAGTTGACAGGCCGTGAAACATTTATCGTCCGCAATCAGTAGCTGTTTACAAGCCGGCAACACTTGCGCAATAAAATGTCATTTTACTCCATTTTCAAAAAGACAGACTATAGAATCTTAAGCCTTCACCGTTCCTCCTTCGGTCGACTAGAAGGTACGGAACAATTCATCCCATTGATATACCACCCGTTCGCACGAAACGCTTTGCTTCCTCCTTCCTTAACTATACGGCAAAGGAACGGAATACCGGTCTTATTTTCAGCATGGACCAATGACTCAAAAGTATTGCTAATAGCGGTACAAGACAACGTCGGGTATTTGGTACCTATTTTTACACTAGATGTCGGGACGAGTACCAAATAGCTATTTTTGTAAATAATTTATGAACTACAATTTATCAAAGTTACTCTAATTTCTAGTGATAACAAACAAATCAACTAGGTGGCGCTTATTGCACTGGTTTTTGTGGAAAATGCCGGCTATTCTTTAATTTTGTTTAAGATTAGCGCCATCTACCCATATTAGGAAGCATTAATGTATACATTTGTTTGTAACACACAATGCCATCTATTGACACGCATATTTGGCAAAGTTCATTTAGCTCATGATCAAATTTGAATAATATTACAAGGAAAAAACTGACTATTTATATTTCATATTAAAGAGGTATTAATTTGCTATCTACGGCCATTTACATAATAAAAACTACTTTCCATCTAGGCCATCATTCAGTAATTTTTGGCAAAATTTTATCGTCTTTCACAATCTATCGATAAAACTATCGACAACAACTACGTAACTATTTAATCTTTATGACAACTGGCAATCCTACAAATGTCATTTTACTCCGTCTTCAAAAAAGGCTGACTATAGATATAAAACGGAGTTTTTACCTTTTTCAGAGTTAAAATCTGTAGTATGGAGTTATAGGTTCATGCTTTCATGAAAATTGACACCGAAATTAGATCGTGAAGTCGGCTAAAGTTCACTTTTCCTCGTACTCTAGTCCTCAGTTAAAAATCTTTCAATTGACTACACGGCACTTAACAATGGTGTGAAAAAGAATTTAGTCATACAAAAATGCTCACAGAATCATGAAAATAGTTTTGCAACGCATGACGAACATCGCATACTCATGTAACGTGTCGGCAGATAGTCGTGCAGTTTAAAGTGTCGTGGCTTGTATATTTAAATGAAATTGTTCACACATGTAACAACACGATGAACTGTCGTTCACGATATTTTGACACGTCATTGTCACAATAAAAATGTGTGTGTGTCGCAGCCGCTAATGATGTCACGCTTTAGGTTACCTATTAGAAGTTCGAAGTGACATTTTCCAGAAATAACGTTTGCTGAAATTTTCATAACATCGAAAGTAATTTTGAGAGGAAAATGTTTTTTCTTTTAAACCTAACCTTACTGAACCTAATCGTGTCTGTGATAAACATACAACATATCCTGAAAAAACAACGGTTTCGTTATAATTCGGTTTTCGGGTTAATGAAAATTCGAACAAACGGTATTTCGGAAAAAATTAATTCTAGTTTGTGATAGGTTACCCAGGATTAATTTATTTTTGTCTCTTATTAGCAGAAGATAAGACAGCTGTCGTGAAACGATAAGATTTGGGATATGAGAACAGGGTAGACGCGACAGGAAAAACAATTTTACAATAATGCTTGCTGCCGGACATTGGGGAACTGGGGTAACAAAAGTTCATATTCTTCAATGTCCGGCAGCAATTCCCCACACGTCGAAATACTCAAACCCCCAAATGAGTTATTTTACAACTCCATTCCCCACAAAATCCCCAATAAAATTTGTAATTCCCCAAACATTTTATTAAGTAGCCTAAAATCGCCTTTTCCTATTTCAAACATAACCTAAATACCACAACGACCACTTTTTTAGTCGCCGCGCGACCCCTCAAAGTAGCTTTAATGGCGAAAAATCGTCTAATCTGGCAACAGTGGTTGGGTCATCGATATCGTCATTATGCGTTGATGTTTCCTACGTCTCAGTGTTGCCATTTTATATAACGTTTGTTGAAAGATTCTCTGAGCATTTTTTTTACCACAGAGTGTCCCACTAACACTGCTTTCTCTACTTCATTATCATACATAACAAAAAAAACTATCATGTATCATAAATGTATTTCCATTTAGCGAAAACCGTCAAAACGAAAATATCAACCAAAGTTACTCGGACAAAAATACCAATAACCGTTAAAAAACCCACTGGGCAAAGAATAAGGAAATTACCTACGAAATTGCAAGGGAAATTGCCCGTTAAAATGCAAGGGAAATTGCCCACAAAAATGCCAGGGAAATTGCCCGCGAAAAACGCAAAATTGCGTAAGGTGACCAAAGTTGTGGGTGATAAGAAAATTCTTGTAAGACGGAACACCAAATTTATTAGAAGAAAAGGTAAAGATAATCAAGCAAATGCATGTTTTTTTATTATGTTCTTGGTGATTGGTAGAATGGTGTTGAGAATTTTTTGTTTAAATTACTTTTTTCGTAATATTTTTTGTTAAAATATTTACATGTCGTCCTTCTTCTGACTGGCCGTTTTAACTGGCGTTATACTTCGTCCAACCATTTCTATACTTTTGACATAAGCGTGAAGTTTCTTAATTATTGACAAACAGACATATCCACCGAGGTCGCAATTTTCGTCGACCCGGTGGGACTTGCAACCACGTCCATGCTGCACCGTTGCATTGCTTTAACCATCTGAGCTACGGGTCCAGTTACCGAGTCGGCGAAATTCTCCCATGTGTTTTTGTTATAGATCTTTGTACTGGCTTTCGGCATTAGTCGCCACTAGTGACATCTAGTGAGAGATTTTTTAATAACCTTCTCACGGCAGCCGATACCTTTACAGGTATTACAATTGATGCAGATGTCGCTTTTCGACTTCTGAGATGTTTTTTGGGAAAATTTTATGAAATCGATTGTTATACGAAATCGAATTAGGACATCACTAATGGATTAGTAAATGAGCTGTCAACAGTAAAATAAATGGTTGGAGGGAATGTAAGCGTAATTTTCAAAACTGTAAATCTGAATTAAAAAAAATCCTCGATACAAAACAGTGTACTCCAAAAAATGTATAAAAATTTAACGTGCGATTTGACCATCGAGTATATAACCAGAAATAAAGACGAAATAAGGGAGTTACATTTATGGTAACTCATGAGTTATACATACATCACTTATAAATATCAACTCTCGTTTGCACTGAAATATAGACTGACCTGTGTGTACCTCTCCGTATATGCCAAAAAATATTCTGTCTTTATTGTAATAAATAATAACTCTAACAATGGCGTGCTGTACTATTCGGTGGTGTGGGAAAAACAGCAAAACATCTAATTACAAAAACAAACGGAACCACATTTCATCGCCAATGAAATATTCAATAAGTAATTTTGCAAATTTTGACCATTATAGCTCAAGTGTTTAACTTAGTCGATTTGAAGTGAAACAATTTGACGACACCCGTCAATTGTTTCGAATTCGGGCTGGCCAATCGGAGCGCAGTTGTCATCGTAATGTTATGGCAGAATAGTTTTCAAACAAATTGAATGACATTTCGTCTCTATTTCTGGTTATATACTCTATGGATTTGACAAACGCGGCACCGCGCGTTTAGGATTATAAACACTTACAGTAAGCCTGGTCTACTTCCGTACTTGTCAAATAAGCAATACGACCAAATCCAAAGACAATGCCAAGTATGCTTCATTCGCATCATGCGTCTTAATTTGATGGAGTAATATTCATGTTAATCATGTAAGTCATGTTAATGTTCATGTTAATTGTTTGGAACGGGAGTCGATCGAGCCTCTGTTCAGTTTTAAGTAACAGTAGAGCTCCTTGCGAGATTTCGTCCTGGGAAGTACTTACCACCTTACTGATTTCTACTGCTAAGCAGTAATGTGAGCATTACTGCGCATAGGTTTTGAAATGTAAGGATGCTGGTAAGTTACAGGCACATGGGACTTGTCCACTAATTTCTCAGGGTGACGGGCGCAATGTGACTGCACCTAAATCTCTGTGATTTAAAGCTCTGAGTGGCATTGCAACTGTTATGGACAGGCGTGTCGCTTACCAACAGGCCCATGACTGGTTAGTCCAGTCACTTAGTGTCATGAAAAAAAAATGCTGAGTAAGATTGTGCTACATACAAAAATGTCAGTTATTACAGTTAGAAAAGCAAAGGACGATATTTTAATTATTTTATTTAAACATTGTTAAATTATGCGCGTAAATTTATTTGTATGGATTTGCATTAAAGTTATTTTTTAAATGTTTTTCTATTTTTTTTTTACTAAAAATATTTTATTTTTGAAAAGGACATATGAATTATGTATAATTATGTAGGTAGTTATGTTTTTATTTTAGGGCATGCGTTAGGTGATTATTTTTTTACAATTGTAGCTAGTAAGTAAGTGGTCTATTTTAGTAAAAAAATTTAGTATACAATTAGTAGTGTGAATAATAAAAAGCAGTGCATGTACTTAATGTAAAAAGAAAGCAGTGCATGTATGTATATTACTATAAGAAATATTTCAAAACCAACGCTCGGACAGCTAAAAATTTTCAGCGTCATGTACGATGTCGTACCCCAAAAAGAAAGCCCTATTTACTACGAATTTACACAACTTACAAATTTGACGGAATAATGGTATTACGTAGTTTGCTTTTCATATTGTTGCGGCCCAGAACTCGGCCACTCTGACTGCATCAAGCGTGCAGGTGTTAAGACGCAGGGTGCGATGTGAGGTGGGCCATATTTTGAATTGCATCGAAGAAACAATACGGGTTAAAACAGTGCTCAAAGTGATAATTATCATTATAGTTATCACCATTACTGTTTTGATAAATTTACCTTGATAATTTAATTAACAATTATCTTTATAAATACACCTTGATAATTTAATTATCATTTATCTTGGTAATAAAATGTCTCGATATTTATAATTTTAATTGGAACAACAAAATGCTACTGTTAAGCTTTCTACCCGGCGGCACAGCCCGTTTTGGTTGGTGTCGGTGACCTTATTTCTAATCTAGTCCTGTGACATGATTCTAGACACAAGACCGCCGACTCCGACCCGGGCTATGTCGCCGGGTCGGCGGGCTCGGTGTGCAGAAAGCTTTAGCAATGTCGTGTCATGTATTTGTATCCGAGACGTATCAAAACGTGTTAAAGCGTGGCGCGTGTCAGGTTGTGAGCAATGCGGTTGTAATTCCGTGTATGTATATGTACGACAACACACGACGAGCGGGCGCAGGACCCGACCTGCGCCGACCGGCCCTTACCGCCTCTTAGCAGCAGTAGAACTCCATGTGAAAGTTAGAGCAGTTATGTGAGCATTACTGCGTTCCGGTTTTGAAGGGTGCTGGTGAATCTACAGGCACATGGGACTTGTCAACCTATGTCCTAGGGTGACGGGCGCAGTGGCAGTGCCCCTCAGAAGTTTGCAACTTAATGTTCTGAGTGGCACTGCAACTGTTATGGGTAGGCGTGTCGCTTACCACCAGGCGCACGACTTGTTCGTCCCGTCTCTTGATGTCATAAACAAAAACACTTACTTTCCGATTTTGACCCGGATGATAAGCTTGAGTAATTTGTGCTTTTCGCTCTTTTTGACATGGCCGAAGTATGAGTTCTTCCTATATAATATAGCAATAAAAAACAAATTACTGACCTATATATTTTCTTCGAGTAGACATGAAAATTTTCTATGAAAAACATATTTTTGCGAATTGGCCCCAATGGTAAAAAAATATTAGACTTTCATGTACTGAATATGACCTTAAAGTACTTACTTAAAGTAGTTTAGAACAACTTGGTTAAATAGATAGATGGACGCTTTATTCACTAATATGACAAAAATATATATTAATCATAAAATCATAACATTATTGTTATGACAGTGAATGGGCGTTGGCTCAGCATATCGACTGTGAACTGGCAGTCGGTACTATCTCAACTTTGACAACTTTCCAGGTGAAGAAAAAAATTGTTTGCGTTTAGTTTATAGCATCTGGTTTATTAAATAAAAATACGTAATTTTTATATATGATATGATATACCAAAGATTCCTGGACTAATTTTTATAACAGTAACATTGAACTATGTCAACATTTTTCCGTCAAAATTATAAGTTAGGTTGACTCTTGCTAAAGAAGACGTCTTGAGGTAAGAATGCGTCTGAAACGCTGAAAATTTTTAAGCAATAAAAGCGATTTATTTGCTTTTCCTTACGAAAGACAGCATTATTAGGTTTGAATTCAATCAAACTGCCTCTGTGGCCGAACGGTTACCATACCGGACTGCCACGCAGAGGTCCCCGGGTTCGATTCCCGGGCCGGGAGAAATATTTGTATGGCCTACATTTATTTCTCTCGTGAGTTTGGGTGTAATTTGTGGTTGTCTATGTGTGTGTCCATGGCACCCGCGACACAGGGTTTCCCTAGTGCGGGGCTATGTTGAGTGTGTGCGTTATTATTAAAAAAAAAAAAAAAAAAATTATTTTAAGTTATTGAGTTTCATGGAAACCATGAAACTTTAAATTATTTTTTTACACACACTGGAAATAAAGAATGCCTTTTTTATTTAATGATATTTTAGGGGGATTATTCTATCCATCAATACCAACTTTTTACTATATAGACCCCCTTAAATTCGGATTGTCTCTGTCCGTCAATATTAACTTTTTGAAATGGACACCCTTTTAAATTGGAGTTGATTGTACCCATCAATATTAACTTTTACTATGGAGACTCATTGAATTTAGGTTGATGTTACTCATCAATACCAACAATTAGGGCTCCTACAAAGTAGACGTTTATATACAATATTTGGAAGCGCAGTTGCAACGCCACTATCGTGCATGCGCATGCGCAACTTTTGCAGTCACAATTATCAAATTAAAAATTACTGAAGCACTACTACAGTTACGCCACTGTAACGCTTCTACAAACGTCTAATTTGAAGGCGACTTAACCATGGAGACACCCCCAATTCGGGTAGATTCTATTCATTAATACTATTTCTATAGAGACCTTCTCAATTCGGATGGATTCTGTTTATCAATACTAACTTTCAAGGGAACTTCCCCTTTTGTCAATAAAATTCATTAACATATTATCGTGAACTAAAAATATGTATAATCTATATGTAATAGTGCCGAAATAATGTTTTGAAAGCAACAGAGCAGAATTACGGGAAAGAATTATAAGATTTTCAACTTTGCAGCCGTCATTGAATCCGGCTTAAAATCCAATCTCTCTCTGTCTGAAATAAAAAAAAATCTGCCAATTGATATCAAATGTCAATACAAACGGTGGCGTTTGTATTGATAGTGACTCCATTGTCCAAAATTCCCCCGCCCCATTAACATAAATAACCTCTTAACTTTAGTGTTCTCCCCCCATATTGTTACTCTATGTAAATTTATCCACTTAAATATCATATATTTGTAAATGTTGTCTTTTGTTTTACATTCTCAACTGAGTACTCCCGTGGTCCCACTTACCAACACCGGTTAATGTCCTATTAGAGCTCAGCGAATTTTTTTTTTGTTTCGTTTTTTTTTCTTTCAACCGTGACATTGGCAAAATCATCATTTCTCATAATGATGGAGCCATGAAAATAAAAAGTGATAATGATAGTGTTTTCTAGTAAGTTCTAGAAAGTGTATTCTAGTCAATTTCAAATTATGAATGGAATTGCAGATTCTGCTGCGTCGTCATCTGCTGGCGATACAACGCCCCGCGTCAAACGAAAGTATACCAAACGTGCGCCTGGCACCAAGAAAACCGATGTAAGTATTTATGATACAGCGCGCCCAATATAATGATTCACCCGGTGGGACTAGAACCCACGACCTTGCTGCACAGTAGCATTGTTCTTACTTGTGTTTTTATTTTTTTATTTTATTTTATTGGTACAGTTACAGACATCAGATACAGCATAATATAAAAATATTCTAGAATAGCACTGTAACACTGATACCCAATTACAACTACATATACACAGCATTCGGTAAACAAAAAAGATAATGTTACGAGGAGCAGAAATATACTTACATACATATTATATTTAACTAATAAAATATTAAACTATGTTTAACGGATTTTACAATAAAGACAAATAGATAGAATAATAAAATAACAAAAAAAAAAACTAAAACAAAATTTAATGAAAACTAATAGTTTTTATAATATTCGTCGCCGCTAGCGACATCTGGTGAGAGATGTTTGAAAAAATTCACTGCGGCCGGTGTCTTTACAGATACCCCAATTAAAATCGATGTCGCTTTTTGATCAAAAGTATAACTGAGATTTTTTGAAAAAAAAAAAAAATAATTGAAATTATTAATTGAAAAAAAAATTTGCATTAATATTAGACATAACTGGTTGAAGACTGTACTACCTCAGTCAACCGTAACCATGGGACCTGTAAAGGGCCCGAAACGTCGGTTTGTTTGAAAAAACAAATATGCGCGATTTAAATCCGGAAAAATAGTTTCATTTCCTATGTGTAACAATCGCGAAAACCTAAGAACTCGATAAAAAATAAAATTCTGTGTTTAATAATCACAGAACTAGGGGCTTAATAAATAATGTTCCAGACAATAACACCAGTATAGCGGTGTAATACACGTTATGGGCAATTTTGATAAGCTCTAATCTATCTAATGAATAATGACCGGTCTGTATTAATATAGCACGCATCAAATGGGCATTGCAATAAAAACTGTACTTTTCCCGGTCAGTATTAGTAATGACCACTCTGTCTTGTTCAAAGTAATAGAATAAAGTATCTATAGCGTTTTGGTCAGGTTAGGCTAGGTTAGGATGTTGCCCGCGGGAAATAGGGAATCATATTCTTTATTTGCAAGTTACATGGTTATATAAAAGGTATTCTTATACTAATGGTACTTGACATGTAACACCCCGTGGGGGCACTGCAACATTCTGAGGGCCCTATATCCTTACTTTACTAAAATATATACATTATTAAAATAAAATTAAAAATGATTACTACATTATTTAAATAAAATTAAGAATGATTAATAGCAAAAGAAAAACTAAACAGAATTTTAGGTCTCATTCCTGATACACTTATGTCTGTCTATTTGACATACTTTACAAATTATAAACTTGGTAATTCGTTTTTAAGCACTATTTTCTAAAAAGTATGCTTTAAGTGAATAAAAAGCTTTGCTCTGTAGATAGCTCTTTAGATGGGTTACAAAGGCCTTATGTGTATCATTCATACTGCTCGGTTCTAATGATTTGATAAATCAAATGGATCATGGGCAGTCAGCGCATTATTAATACGGACCGGCCAAACTAGTGAATAGTCATTATACATAATGACCGGACCCTATTAATAATACCCGATTATTTAAATTGCCCGTAAACATGTGGTTTGGTACAATTTTCTTTTCTTTTTGGTTTTGTTAATGGTTCATTATTATTGTTTCAGTCTACAACCGGCGAGAAAGTCAAAGGCAAGCGCGGTCGTCCGCGTAAAGTAGACCAGATGGCTGCCAATAACAAACAATTACAGCAACCTAGTGAGTACGAGGGAATTTCGCTCTTAAGCCAACGTACCAAAGAGCTAATGAATGACAATAATGATCTGCCTTGCGAAATATTGCTAGTTGATGAAGCATAGTTCTTGTTCACTCTGTTTTCGCAGATGATGGACCTCAAAATAACTGAAATCTATTAGTTGATGAAGCATAGCCCTTCTTCCTTCCGCGTTTGCAGAAACTGGACCTCAAAATACCGAATTGCCATTGTTCGATGAAGCATAGCCCTTTTTCCGCTTTTGCACAAAATGGATCTCAAAATATCGTAATGCTATTGTTCGATGAAGCATAGCTCTTCTCTCTTCCGTTTTTGCAGAAAATGGACCTCAAAATATCGAAATGCTACTGTTCGATGAAGCATAGCTCTTCTTTCTTCCGCTTTTGCAGAAAATAGACCTCAAAATATCGAATTGGTATTGTTCCATGAAACATAGCTCTTCTTTCTTCCGCTTTTGTAGAAAATG